TGAGAGTGCGTCGTATAAACAAACATGATATCATTAGCGGAGAGTGCGTCGTATAAGCAAACATGATATCATTAGCGGAGAGTGCGTCGTATAAACAAACATGATATCATTAGCGGAGAGTGCGTCGTATAAACAAACATGATATCATTATCTGAGAGTGCGTCGTATAAACAAACATGATATCATTAGCGGAGAGTGCGTCGTATAAGCAAACATGATATCATTTTCTGAGAGTGCGTCGTATAAACAAACATGATATCATTAGCGGAGAGTGCGTTGTATAAACAAACATGATATCATTAGCGGAGAGTGCGTCGTATAAACAAACATGATATCATTAGCGGAGAGTGCGTCGTATAAACAAACATGATATCATTAGCGGAGAGTGCGTCGTATAAACAAACATGATATCATTAGCGGAGAGTGCGTCGTATAAACAAACATGATATCATTAGCGGAGAGTGCGTCGTATAAGCAAACATGATATCATTAGCGGAGAGTGCGTCGTGTAAATAAACATGATATGATTAGCGGAGAGTTCGTCGTATAAACAAACATGATATCATTAGCTGAGAGTGCGTCGTATAAACAAACATGATATCATTAGCGGAGAGTGCGTCGTATAAACAAACATGATATCATTAGCGGAGAGTGCGTCGTATAAACAAACATGATATCATTAGCGGAGAGTGCGTCGTATAAACAAACATGATATCATTAGCCGAGAGTGCGTCGTATAAACCAACATGATATCATTTTCTGAGAGTGCGTCGTATAAACAAACATGATATCGTTAGCTGAGAGAAAATCAATTAGAGCTGAGCTTCATTAGCGCTCTAAAAAAACATTATCTTGATGCGGTTTTTTAAAAGAGTTGTTTATTCGCAAATTTTTGTTTGTAGTTCCGCGTCAGACGTTTCTCTTAAATAATTAAATTGTCATTAGCTCGAGTAGTTGTAAACCTTAGGTTTGTACATACTGGGGCAGGGGTGGACAGTAGTGTCTTTATGTTTAGCCTGTTGGTCAACCATCGGACAGTTGAGATGTGTGTCCTGGTTGACTGTTGTGAACTGTCGAAGATTTGTCCACGACATCATGTAGGTGACCAATGCCAATAACACAAGTGGACATGTATTTAAATACATGTTTGTGACTAAGATACACAATTGAACTAAGGAGCTTACGCTTATGTCAACTGCTGGTGGCGCCACTGACGTGGTGACACATTTTGTCACGTGACGTGTAGCACGTGACGGCATGACGTGCACATCTTCCGCACGTGACGGCATGACGTGCACATCTCCCGTACAGCACGTGACGGCATGACGTGCACATCTCCCGTACAGCACGTGACGGCATGACGTGCACATCTCTCGTACGTGACGGCATGACGTGCACATCTCCCATACGTGACGGCATGACGTGCACATCTCCCATACGTGACTGCATGACGTGCACATCTCCCATACAGCACGTAACGTCATGACGTGCACATCTCCCGTACGTGACTGCATGACGTGCACATCTCCCGTACGTGACTGCATGACGTGCACATCTCCCGTACAGCACGTGACGGCATGACGTGCACATCTCCCGTACGTGACTGCATGACGTGCACATCTCCCGTACGTGACTGCATGACGTGCACATCTCCCGTACGTGACTGCATGACGTGCACATCTCCCGTACGTGACTGCATGACGTGCACATCTCCCGTACAGCACGTGACGTCATGACGTGCACATCTCCCGTACGTGACTGCATGACGTGCACATCTCCCGTACGTGACTGCATGACGTGCACATCTCCCGTACGTGACTGCATGACGTGCACATCTCCCATACAGCACGTGACGTCATGACGTGCACATCTCCCGTACGTGACTGCATGACGTGCACATCTCCCGTACGTGACTGCATGACGTGCACATCTCCCGTACAGCACGTGACGTCATGACGTGCACATCTCCCGTACGTGACTGCATGACGTGCACATCTCCCGTACGTGACTGCATGACGTGCACATCTCCCGTACGTGACTGCATGACGTGCACATCTCCCGTACGTGACTGCATGACGTGCACATCTCCCGTACAGCACGTGACGTCATGACGTGCACATCTCCCGTACGTGACTGCATGACGTGCACATCTCCCGTACGTGACTGCATGACGTGCACATCTCCCGTACGTGACTGCATGACGTGCACATCTCCCATACAGCACGTGACGTCATGACGTGCACATCTCCCGTACGTGACTGCATGACGTGCACATCTCCCGTACGTGACTGCATGACGTGCAAATCTCCCATACAGCACGTGACGTCATGACGTGCACATCTCCCGTACGTGACTGCATGACGTGCACATCTCCCGTACGTGACGGCATGACGTGCAAATCTCCCATACAGCACGTGACGTCATGACGTGCACATCTCCCGTACGTGACTGCATGACGTGCACATCTCCCGTACGTGACGGCATGACGTGCACATCTCCCGTACAGCACGTGACGGCATGACGTGCACATCTCCCGTACGTGATGGCATGACGTGCAAATCTCCCGTACGTGACGGCATGACGTGCACATCTCCCGTACGTAACGGCATGACGTGCACATTTCCCGTACGTGACGGCATGACGTGCACATCTCCCGTACAGCACGTGACGGCATGACGTGCACATTTCCCGTACGTGACGGCATGACGTGCACATCTCCCGTACAGCACGTGACGGCATGACGTGCACATCTCCCGTACGTGACGGCATGACGTGCACATCTCCCGTACAGCACGTGACGGCATGACGTGCACATCTCCCGTACGTGACGGCATGACGTGCACATCTCCCGTACAGCACGTGACGGCATGACGTGCACATCTCCCGCACGTGAGGGAATGACGTGCATATGTCCCGTACAGATCATGTCTGTCGGTCACGTGAGGACCAGCCCACACTTCCACCACACACGCAACATGTTCAGTAGAGATTTGTGCCCAGTCAAACAATCAACATGTTCAGTAGAGATTTGTGCCCAGTCACACACGCAACATGTTCAGTAGAGATTTGTGCCCAGTCAAACAATCAACATGTTCAGTAGAGATTTGTGCCCAGTCACACACGCAATAGGTTCAGTAGAGATTTGTGCCCAGTCAAGCAATCAACATGTTCAGTAGAGATTTGTGCCCAGTCAAACAATCAACATGTTCAGTAGAGATTTGTGCCCAGTCAAACACGCAACATATTCAGTAGAGATTTGTGCCCAGTCAAACACGCAACATGTTCAGTAGAGATTTGTGCCCAGTCACACACGCAACATGTTCAGTAGAGATTTGTGCCCGGTCAAACAATCAACATGTTCAGTAGAGATTTGTGCCCAGTCAAACAATCAACATGTTCAGTAGAGATTTGTGCCCAGTCAAACACGCAACATATTCAGTAGAGATTTGTGCCCAGTCAAACACGCAACATGTTCAGTAGAGATTTGTGCCCAGTCACACACGCAACATGTTCAGTAGAGATTTGTGCCCGGTCAAACAATCAACATGTTCAGTAGAGATTTGTGCCCAGTCAAACAATCAACATGTTCAGTAGAGATTTGTGCCCAGTCAAACACGCAACATATTCAGTAGAGATTTGTGCCCAGTCAACCACGCAACATGTTCAGTAGAGATTTGTGCCCAGTCACACACGCAACATTTTAAGTAGAGATTTGTGCCCAGTCACACACTCAACATGTTCAGTAGAGATTTGTACCGGGTCACACACGCAACATTTTCAGTAGAGATTTGTGCCCAGTCACACACGCAACATTTTCAGTAGAGATTTGTGCCCAGTCACACACTCAACATTTTCAGTAGAGATTTATGCCCAGTCACACACGCAACATGTTCAGTAGAGATTTGTGCCCAGTCACACACTCAACATGTTCAGTAGAGATTTATGCCCAGTCACACTCTCAACATGTTCAGTAGAGATTTATGCCCAGTCACACTCTCAACATGTTCAGTAGAGATGTGTGTCATACAATCAACACGTTCAGTAAAATCACCTTGAGCAGACTAAGATCAGTGTTTGTTGAAAAACTCATGTCGTTAATAAGTTGACTGTGTTTAATTACATCACCCGCGGCAAGAGGTCATCGAGTGCACTTATTGGCTGGGTCGTCTCCGTTGAATGACGAAATACAAACTAAACATTCCTTCAATATTTATACAAACTGTGTTGTCATCGTATGCTGCCAGTATGAAGGTGTGCACCTCTAAAATAGTGTGGTCAGCACTATGCCCAGGTGCCTTAGCCTCCCTAACGTCAGTCAAGTACCAGTCAGAGCTGGGTGGACTCAGGGATGTCCTACAGACTCGAGCCCGGGATCCGAACAGTTTTTTCCAGGCATCTCTTCGGGGGTGGGGGGGGGGGGGGGGGGGGGGGGGGGAACATGAGAACACATTCACAACACAAAATACACATTAAAACAAGATTGTTTTACAATGCCTGACTAAGAGAAATATGCGAAATTTTATACCTACATACTGTTTCAATTTTTTTTTCAAACGATTATGTATCTTCGATTTCATTGCAATTGAAAAACAGAGTTTCTTCCAGGCATCTCTTCGGGGGGGGGGGGGGGGGAGCGAAGCCCACCCCGAAAAAATTCTATCCCCCCCCCCCCCCCCCGAACGAAATGAAATTTATATAATTTATATAGAAAATATATACCGTTAACAGTGTCCGCCCCCCCGAAGAAAGTCTACCGCCCCCCCCCCCCCCGAAAAAACAAGTGCCCCCCCCCCCCCCGGAGAAAAAAGTCTGGAAGAAACACTGGTTCCGAACTCGCGACTTTAGTGTTAGCCCCACGCCGTCCCATATTATTTACATGGTATTGATGAAAATCCTTTATCTATAGCTTGACCTTGACCCTTGCAGCGATTCGATTAGCTGTACCAACGCAAAAGATAATAATTCTGAGCCCATGAAGAACGTGTTTTTTTTTGTTTCAGTTTTGATGGCTGCTCCGTGTCACAGCTTCATGTCACCTAGCAACGGTCTCTGGCGTCTCACAACAAAGGTCACGTGGCTGCTCCAGTTTCTTACAGTGGCGGTAATTGTATTGCAAGGTATGCACAAAATAAGCTAACACGGTGGCGTCGGCAAAGGGTTAGTGTTGGGGGGGGGGGGGGGGGGAGGGGTGGGCGTGGTTAATCCATGGAAAACCATAAACACCCATTGGGCCCACAATGTAAATATTATTCCATGGACATCTGTCAGCAGCAAACTTTATGTTTAGCTTTTTTTTTTAAGGCTTTCTTTTTGCCTTTTAAGCTGGTTTTTATTGTAAATTATTTTTAAATATCTAGCTCTATATTTCCTTGTCATTTCAGCAATACATAATTGATGCTCTTTTTGCTAATCTGATACCGTACTACATTGACGTGATTTTAACCATCGTTGTATTGTGTGTTAACAGTTGAAAATCTTTTCTTGTGTTTAGACTTCGTAGATAGCAGAATAGAAGGGGATAATTAAATGTTAAATACTAAATAAAGCCTACTGCTAAGACAAAACAAATTGACTTCAAATATACAAACTTTTGTAGGAAATGTAATAATTCTTCTTATTACTCTAATATTATTTTAGTAAATAAACGGCATTGTGTTGAATAGGAACTATGAGAACGCAGGCATTTCCCTATTTCTCCACACCCCCCCCCCCCCCAACCACAACTCTTTAGGGCCTAAAGGGACATAAAAGAGATTGGCCTACTAAAATAGTCAAAACAGGAAAAATAAAAAAGGAATAAATGTCTATCGCGGTAGTCATTAATAATTTATTCAAAATTCTTTTTTTTTTTTTTAAAAAACATTCTGGGCGACCTATTCACGTTGATACATAGGATAACATTTTTAAAAAATGAGACACATTTTTAAATTAAGTTCTTAAAACATAAGTCTTTTAAAACAATGAGGTTTAAAATCCCATATGTCAGGTGGATGTTTAATTATTCATAAATTAATGTAATTAACTACGAGTGCTAACCCAGGGTCTCGAATTTGAATACCGAACATCGAAATTGAGTACGTATGACTTCTTTGAGTCCACCCAGCTCTGAACTGGTACCTGACTCACATTTGGGTAAAGTAAAGGCATCTGGGCATAGTGTGCATACTGGCCACAATATTGTTTTATATGCCGTGGTCGAAAGGGTAACTTCTCTTTACGTAAATGTAAAGTCTAACAACCCCGCTGTATCGATGCAGCATGAATGTATTAATTATCACAGATAGCGGTAGCTTTTGTGGGTTGTTCGTTATTTTATTTTATAAAGAACTTTTTCTGCTTCACTTTGCTTTTCTGTGCTGCGAGTAAATTGTTAAGTTTATATTGTGTTAGTGTTGTCTAGACGAATAATATGGTCAAAAAAGACTGACGTCCTTTATGAACAGCTTCCCCCCCCCCCCCCCCCCCCCGTTTTCCCCAACTATCATAACCAAACTTGAGAAAATATTTTAAATGTGAATGTTGTAAAATTTATTTTCTTACTGCTATAGACTGATTATTATTCTTACCGCACCAATATGAACATGTTAATGTTGTTGACATTATATTTTATAAGGTGTTTAGATCTAGATCTAGATTCTAGTGTTTGGTCTGTGATTCGTGTCTGTCGATCGATCGTTTGCACGAAGTTATCGATACACGTGTATTCATATAACGACTAATGCAGCCACCTCTTTAACTTTGAACGCAAACCTAGTCATGTCAAACATCAGTAAAAAAAAAAAACTTTTTTTTCTCGGCCTCGGGTTTTAATTTTATGATTTTACTTTACTGTTGTTTGACATTTCAATTTAAATGTTGGCTAAGAAAAAAATGCTCACAGACATAGTTTCTTCCAGGCATCTCTTCAATTTTTCCGCCCCCCCCCCCCCCCCCGAAAGAAATGTAATTTATATAGAAAATATATACTTGTAACAGTGTCCGCCCCCCCCCCCGAAGAAAGTTTACGGCCCCCCCCCCGAAGATTTCAAGTGCCCCCCCCCCCCACCCCCCCAGAGAAAAAAAGTCTGGAAGAAACACTGCTCACAGAAACGTATAAAAATTCTACTGTCTATTAGAGGTCTACCCACAATGGCACTGGCAATTGCCCTCTTATTAATAGTGTAGTATATATATATATATAATTATATATATATAGAGTCTAGATCTAGATCTATCTGTATGTAATAATGTATCTAGACCTTTGATTTTTATTTTACTAAATGACTCTTTGGTAAACCAAGGGAAACAACTTATGAAAATTCAAAGTCTTATTTTTAAAAAAAGGTGCTTCCCCTTTTTAATTGTCTAACTATTTTTTAAGAAATCTAGATTCAAGAATAATAAGTTAGTAATAACAATGCATTTAATTACCATATTCATCCTGTTTAATTACTAATTAGACACAATTTCTCTCAACATTTAAAGTCTACTTTGATTTTTAAGTGATCCCCTAGTCCAAAGCTTTCACCGAAATATTTTTTAGTTGAAGGCCTTCTTATTTAAATTAATAAAATGTCAATACTCCTTTTAAAAAAATGGATAGATATGAACTTGTCTTAAATTCCTTACTTTCTAGATCTATCATTTCTCAATCCAATTCATTTTTTGTCACAAAACCTCATATCTTGGATTCATCTAATATTTGATTAATGATATAGCCTATAAAATACTATATTGGCCTATATTGTGATAGTGTATTAGTTTACTCTATTGCTGCTTGGTCTAATTCTGATAACTCTTACTTTGTACTACTATACTCATGTAGATACTGCTTATTCTCAAGGTAAGGATGTGCGTTAACCTTGAACCCCATTTTCTTTTCAGTCTTGATATTTTTATTTTGTTTTCATTTTAACTTTATTTTTATTAATATCCCTACTTTATAATCTGTTTTTCAATTTGAAAAAAAACAACAAAAAACAAGGTAATATTCATTCTATTGATATTGACTATTGAATTTGGTTATTTGTAACGAAACTGAAATTATTAAAACTTACTTAAAATTTATTAAATTTAGACAGATTTAAAATACTAATTAAAAGTTATCAGATTCTGCATATTACCAAAGTAAACATTTAATGATTTAATCTTAGAATTATTTTTCAAAATATTTTATTATTTAATCTAAAAACTCTTACACTACATCCACAAGGCTTTTTCCCAATAGTTTAGCAATATGTTTATCAATTTGAAAATGTGCATGTTATTTTTTTTTAGTTTAATATTCCAATGTTTTGTGTGAATACCAGATTTTTTACATTAACAGTTCTCACTTTTTTGTACTCTTTGAAAAGTATTTCACTAAACCCAGGGTAATGTTTTCAGTTGTTTTTTTTTTAAATCAGGTTAACAGCATTGTATTTTAACAACTTTAAAAATCACAAAAATTACATATTTGTATACAGCAATAAAAAATTAAAATTGTTTATAATAAGTAAATATAAAATATAAAAAATTATAATTATGTAAATATTTTTAATTTATCAATAAGAAGTTTCTGTATTTTTTTTTATAGAGTTGCAGAAAGAAAATAAATAATGGAAGTGATAATGCACATTTTGTTGAAATGAAATTGACAGTTTTAATTGAAAAAATCTAACAAGTTACTCCTCAATTAAAAAACTAATTAAATGAAATAGTTATTATTCTTTAAAATTTCAATATATTTGCAATGGAAAAATAATAAGTGTAGAAATCAGTTCCCAGAAAATTCCGAAACTAAAAAATGTGCAGCCGAAAATTGCACACACAGAATAACATAATATGCTAAAAACAGTTTTATTTGGTTATTTTTCATGGAAAAATGTTTTTTTATCTTACAATTTACAAGTACGTTTTTCTCTGCTTGTGTCGTTGAATTATTTATTTTTAAAAACAAATTCCAATGTACATTGTTTTATGTGCAATTATCCATTGCACACATTTCCATTGCAAATTTTTCTGATCACCTTAGAAATCATATAAATGTGTGTTTATATATATATACATATGTGTGTGTGTGAGTGTGTGTGTGTATATGTGTGTGAGTGCGTCCTTGTGAGCATGTGTGTGTGTGTGTATATGTGTATATAAAAATTTACATTACTGCCTGCTTATTTTTGTAATATTTTTAAAGCTATTTTGGTAATATTCAGCACAGATCACAACCTTAAAATTTTCCCTTTCATTATCTAAACATCTTTGCTATAGTATGTGCATTCACTTTATCATGTTGAGGCATGATTTGATTTTCACGATACAAATGAATGTTTTGGAACTACCTAGAAACCCTTGAAAATCATAATTTATATACTACTAAGTCAAGCAGCCTATTATAATGGTAGACGTTTTTCTCGTATAAGTTACAAGATATTTTAAAATAATTTGTCTTAATGTGTTTTAGTGACTGGCAATAGCCCTCCACAACCAGGCACCTTTGCTAGAAACTTAGTATGGCCAGAAGATACACCCATAGGTATGCCTGTGTAACTATGTATTTTATCATAACTATAGTCTATTTAAATTATTAATTAGTTTAGACTTTCTTTGTGGGTTTGATTTTCAAAATCACAGTAAAGAAAATATTATTTAATAATTATCATAATTTTCAAGAATAATTGATAGTTAATGCTTGATCATATATTTTTAATAAATTGTAAATAACAAATTAGCTCTTTGGTGCATTTCTTTTCCAACAAAACTTTTATAAAAACTATTTAAAATGTGCTTGCCGTAGGTACTGTAATAGGAAACATAACAGCATCTGATGCAGATGATGGCCAAGTGTTATATTTCAACATTGACACGGCTGATGCTAAAGACCTTGTCAACCTCAGTAGCCCACGTAGTGACCCTACCAACAGTAGGACTAAAGTTGTGGACATCATCCTAAAAAGTCAACTGGATAGAGATTATGTGAGCTTTTACATCTTTTTCTTCCACACACAGTTGCTAGGGGCATGAGCTTTAACCAAAAAGTTTAAAGCTTGGTTTTTGTGCTTGAGACTAGATAATAGAATCCAACACGTTATGATAGGTACATAAGCAAAGCAAAGATGGTTGGGCACAGTGATCAGTAGATTAAACAAACAACTAAATCATCTGCCCCATGAACCACAAGACAGCAAAAGGAAGTTTTTTTTCCCCTTACTCAAGTAGAAAATCTAATTGAATCAAATATTTTAAATTGCAGGCTCCCCCAGAGAGGAAACTCTACTTCAGTATATCAGATACCTACAGTTCTGTAAGTTGACTTTACTAGACTAGTTCTTATGTTCTACATCAGTATATCAGATACCTACAATTCTATAAGTTGACTTTACTAGACTAGATTTATGTTCTACATCAGTATATCAGATACCTACAATTCTATAAGTTGACTTTACTAGACTAGTTCTTATGTTCTACATCAGTATATCAGATACCTACAATTCTATAAGTTGACTTTACTAGACTAGTTCTTATGTTCTACATCAGTATATCAGATACCTACAATTCTATAAGTTAACTTTACTAGAATCTAAGTATTGTACTCTACTCTGCTACTATTTGCTCACCTAAAAGAAAAAAGGCAACAATGCATTGTTTCTCCTATTACAGATTCCAGTAGAAATTACATTGTTTATTATGGATGTGAATGATGTAGCACCCAAGTTTGTTAATCTTCCATACGAAGTAACAGTTAAAGAGGTATTTTTCATGGTTATAATTAATCTAAATGCAATATGTAGCTAACAATTTAGAAGTTGGCCATCATATGTTCTTATAAAATAGTTAAACTCAATATCCTATTGTATATAATAGAGCAACTGTTTATTTTATAAAAAAAGTATCACATAGGAAATCACCCTCGTCAATTATTTTTCCTACCATTTGACTACCTATTTGTTTAGCCAGACCCTAGTTCAGTTATTTTCTCTTGAACAGGATGTTACCAATGGTACAATCATTTTTACTGGTGTGTCAGCCTTTGACCCTGACAATGGACGAAACATTGTGTTTACAATGGAGGTAATATATATTATACTGTTGTCTCACACATAAGAATAAAAAAACAAAATAATTTTTTTTTGTTGCAACATTCTTACTAATATTGTTGTCATTAAAATTATTATACTCATTATAGTGTCTTTAATTTTTCACTGGTGAAAATTTTAAATAATTTTTTTGTACTTTTAAAATGACTGCAAAATAACCATATTATTTCTTATTCCAATTTTTCTTTTTTTCTCATCAGTCTAACGCACAAGTGAGTACAAATTTTTCTGTTATCCCCAATGTCTTATATTTGTTCTGTTATCCACAATGTCTCATATTTGTTCTGTTATCCACAATGTCTCATATTTGTTCTGTTATCCACAATGTCTCATATTTGTTCTGTTATCCACAATGTCTTATATTTGTTCTGCTATCCATAATGTCTCATATTTGTTCTGTTACTTACAATGTTTTCAATTTATACGGCTACAATCTTATTTAACAGCTATTTAGTGGTTTATATTGATGGGATTTAGAATTGTGTATTGTACCTGTTTCAGGCAGCTGATGAAGAATACATTAGCACATTCCGCATTGACCAGTTTACAGGGAAAATAACTTTAGAACGTCCCTTGGATTATGAGAAACACAGCTACTACCAGTTTAAAATTATGGCTGAGGTAAGATTCAACCTAATGCTTGTTTGAAAACATTAGGTGATACATAGTAACTCTGTGTGCAATTTATGGAATTCATTATTGTTCATTTAAAAATAAAATAAATATCTAGCAAAATATATAATTGTATGCTTGTTTTTACTTTTAAATTATTTCTTAAAATTAGAATGTGTTTTTACAAATAGTGCTAGTTAGATTTCCATCCACAAATGTCTGACCTTTCTCATGGTCATTTGTTAACAGGATGAAGGCCATTTGAAAGCTCAGCCAGTTGGTTTTGTTGTGTATGTGCTGGATGTTCAAGACACTGCACCTAATTTTGTTAATCTGCCTTACAGTGTACAGATTGATGAAGATGCCCCAATGGTCAGTTCGAATTAGCATTTTAGTTAGGCTAATTTGATAGTTAATGGTTGTTAAATGATTTAATAAATTATTTTGGGTCAGTTCATCCTTATGTTGCGCACTATTTTCTTAGGGTCAGTTCATCCTTATGTCGCGCACTATTTTCTTAGGGTCAGTTCATCCTTATGTATCGCACTATTTTCTTAGGGTCAGTTCATCCTTATGTCGCGCACTATTTTCTTAGGGTCAGTTCATCCTTATGTCGCGCACTATTTTCTTAGGGTCAGTTCATCCTTATGTCATGCACTATTTTCTTAGGGTCAGTCCATCCAGAAAGTGGTAGCAGTAGATGGCGACAAAGGGATTCCAAATAGCATCACATACAGCTTTCTCAGTGGTCAGTACAAATGTCATGGTTTTTGTGGTCAGTACAAATGTCATGTTTTTTGTGGTTAGTACAAATGTCATGTTTTTTGTGGTCAGTACAAATGTCATGTTTTTTGTGGTTAGTACAAATGTCATGTTTTCTGTGGTCAGTACAAATATCATGTTTTTGTGGTCAGTAAAAATATCATGTTTTTGTGGTCAGTACAAATATCATGTTTTTGTGGTCAGTACAAATGTCATGTTTTTGTGGTCAGTACAAATGTCACATTTGGAAAATAATTATACTGATAAGATATACTTTAGACTGTAGCCTATATATTTAATTTCAAAACTACACTATTTTAATACTCAACTTCAATTTAACAAAAATTAACATCAGATCCACAACACAATAAATCAACATAAATTTTACTTTTTTTTAGGTTATGACAGTTTACTTCATTTAATCAAAACAACTCATCCATTCAGTCAAAACAATTCCCTCATGATAGCCCAATAATCTGATAGCACAATAATGGTTTACTACTAGATAATTGAAATATGTATTCTGCCCCAATTAAAAGCAACCCGTTCTTCTGTTTCTTAAACGTTAGCATTTGAAAGGATTGTGGGGTAATATCTCTGCCAAGTCACATATGGAAGTAAACTCTAGATGTTGGTGTTAGCTGTGTACTCTACCATTGAACCACACTGTCCACACATTGACTCCACAAAACTTGCACATAGAAACAGTACCACCCCTGGCGTGTTCAGACTACCAGAGATATAACTACAGACCATTCAACTTCCAGCACTGTTGTCTTGGTTTTGATTGACGTTTTTTCTTCCTCGCAGGTGATTCCAACAACTTTAACTTAGACTCCACGACAGGCATCATCACCATCAAAAAACCACTAGACAGGGACTCTGACACTATGAAGGCAACTGGTGGAGTCTATGCCATGATAGTCCTGGTAGGTCGACTCTCCTCTCTGTTACCATGGTGAGATCTTCCATTGTTTGTATGTCCACCAATTGAAAACTTTTCTTGTCCTATACATGGTGAGATCTGCCATTGTTCAGAGGCGTAGCGACCCTTCCCGGGGACATACTTTCAATTTGGCGCCCCCCTCGGGAGCAAATTTTCGATTTGCACCCCCCCTCGAACTTTTCATTTGCACCCCCCCTCAAACTTTCAATTTGGCGCCCCCCCCCCTAAGGTCGGCGCCCGGGGGCATATTCCCCCCCCCCCCCCGCCCCCCCTAGCTACGCCTCTGCCATTGTTGCATGGCCACTCTCCTCTCTGTTACCATGGTGACATTGTTTGTATGTCCACCAATAGAAAACTTGTCTAGTCCTGTACATGTTTGTATGGCAGCCAATAGAAAACTTGTCCTGTATATGTTTGTATGTCCACCAATAGAAAACTTGTCTTGTCCTGTACATGTTTGTATGGCCGGCAATAGAAAACTTGTCCTGTACATGTTTGTATGGCCACCAATAGAAAACTTGTCTTGTCCTGTACATGTTTGTATGTCCACCAATAGAAAACTTGTCTTGTCCTGTACATGTTTGTATGTCCACCAAAAGAAAACTTGTCTTGTCCTGTACATGTTTGTGTGGCCGCCAATAGAAAACTTGTCCTGTACATGTTTGTATGGCCACCAATAGAAAACTTGTCTTGTACATGTTTGTATGTCCACCAATAGAAAACTTGTCTTGTCCTGTACATGTTTGTGTGGCCGCCAATAGAAAACTTGTCCTGTACATGTTTGTATGGCCACCAATAGAAAACTTGTCTTGTACATGTTTGTATGTCCACCAATAGAAAACTTGTCTTGTCCTGTACATGTTTGTATGTCCACCAATAGAAAACTTGTCTTGTCCTGTACATGTTTGTATGTCCACCAATAGAAAACTTGTCTTGTCCTGTACATGTTTGTATGTCCACCAATGGAAAACTTGTCTTGTCCTGTACATGTTTGTATGGCCACCAATAGAAAACTTGTCTTGTCCTGTACATGTTTGTATGTCCACCAATAGAAAACTTGTCCTGTACATATTTGTATGGCCGCCAATAGAAAACTTGTCCTGTACATGTTTGTATGGCCGCCAATAGAAAACTTGTCCTGTACATATTTGTATGGCCACCAATAGAAAACTTGTCTAGTCCTGTACATGTTTGTATGGCCACCAATAGAAAACTTGTCTTGTCCTGTACATGTTTGTATGGCCACCAATAGAAAACTTGTCTTGTACATGTTTGTATGGCCACCTATAGAAAACTTGTCTTGTCCTGTACATGTTTGTATGGCCGCCAATAGAAAACTTGTCTTGTCCTGTACATGTTTGTATGGCCACCTATAGAAAACTTTTCTTGTCCTGTACATGTTTGTATGGCCGCCAATAGAAAACTTGTCTTGTACATGTTTGTATGTCCACCAATAGAAAACTTGTCTTGTACATGTTTGTATGGCCACCAATAGAAAACTTTTCTTGTCCTGTACATGTTTGTATGGCCACCAATAGAAAACTTGTCTTGTACATGTTTGTATGTCCACCAATAGAAAACTTGTCCTGTACATGTTTGTATGGCCGCCAATAGAAAACTTGTCTTGTCCTGTACATGTTTGTATGGCCACCAATAGAAAACTTGTCTTGTACATGTTTGTATGTCCACCAATAGAAAACTTGTCTTGTCCTGTACATGTTTGTATGGCCACCAATAGAAAACTTGTCTTGTACATGTTTGTATGTCCACCAATAGAAAACTTGTCTTGTCCTGTACATGTTTGTATGGCCACCAATAGAAAACTTGTCTTGTACATGTTTGTATGTCCACCAATAGAAAACTTGTCTTGTCCTGTACATGTTTGTATGGCCGCCAATAGAAAACTTGTCTTGTACATGTTTGTATGGCCACCAATAGAAAACTTGTCTTGTCCTGTACATATTTGTATGGCTGCCAATAGAAAACTTGTCTTGTACATGTTTGTATGTCCACCAATAGAAAACTTGTCTTGTACATGTTTGTATGTCCACCAATAGAAAACTTGTCTTGTCCGCTACAGGCAGCTGAAGTGGTGCCAGCTGGACAAGTCAACAAAGGGGAAACAACTGCCACGACCCTGGTGACCATCACTGTCAGAGATGTTAATGACAACGCCCCCACCTTCAGCCAGAGCAACTACAACGCCACCATCTTGGAGAACATGCAGCAAGGTGTACCTGTCAGCTTCCAGGGGAACATCTTGCAGGTCTCAGACATTGACCAGGTCAGTGCCAGCTCTTCACTTTCACAACAAGCTGTTTAAAAGGGTTGCCTGTCTTGTGTTGAAGATACTGCATGCAAAAGTTTTACCATCATCATCAAGTGTATTGTCCATTGTTAAATCAACCTAAAACGTTAGTTAGATCATCACCATTGTGTCACTGTAATAAGAACAAGTATACTATCACCACAGTATCCCTATCATAGTATCATCATCTTAATATAACGTTTATACCATCACCACCATGCCACCATCATAGTATCATCATCATAATATAACATACCATCACCACTGTGTCACCATCCTAGTATTATCACATTAATATAACATTTATACTGTCATCACTGTGTCAAAATCATAGTATCATCATCATAATATAACATACCATCACCACTGTGTCACCATCCTAGTATCATCACTCTAATATAACATTTATACTGTCATCACTGTGTCACCATCCTAGTATCATCATACAACCACTGTAATGTCACCTAGTATCATCACCCTAAAGACTTTACCACAAGATATTTTGTATCAACCCACAGGGAACCAACAGTCACTTTGCCCTTACACTGGAGAAAAATGGAGCAGTCAACTATGATTTCTCTCCCCTGCCCCAGCAGATTTACTCCGAGTCCTCAGTTCTTATTCGTGTCAACAACTCTGCTGTGTTGGACTATGAAAAGAACAAGATTATTATTTTTCAAGTGAGTTAACCTTTGTTTATATAATTTTCACCAAGTGATTGGCATACATGCTATTTACATTTTGACTAATAAGTTTATAATAGACCTGTAAATATGTTAGTTATTTTAACAATAGACCTGTTAATACATTAGTTATTTTAATGCAAAAACGTAATCTGAACACAAACATTTACAAAAGCAATAATAATTATTTCTACTATTTCTAAATGAAAACATCATATGACCATGCATGTAAAATGAAAACTTTATGATATGACAATGAGTGTAAAATGAAAACTCCATGATATGACCATGTTTTTGGCCCACCAGATTGTTGCACGTGAAATGGAGACAAAGGAAAAACGTTCAAGTTCTGCCACTGTGACACTCTATATTGAAGATATGAATGACAACGCACCACTCTTTGCTCAGGCCAACTACACATTCAGTGTGTTTGAGAACACAGCCCCAGGGACACCAGTTCAAAACTTTACAGTCAGTTGTCTTTTATACTTACTCAATTTTTATGGATTCAAAAACAATTCAGTTGATACACTTTTTATCTAAAACAGTGGTTCTTAACCTGGGTTTGATTGTACCCCAGTTTCAGAGTTTTAGTGGAGGTCAGGACACACATCTGACTCATATGATTTATGATATGATTTTGTCAGTGCAGACAATAGAATTATTAAGAAAGGTTCAGGGAATGCACAAATGAAACTGGTGGGGTTCAGTACCTCAAAAAAGGTTAAGAACTACTATTCTAAAATGTCAAATTTGAATGAACATTGAGCTACTATATTGGATTACCAATTATTTGCAATTAGAAAGTTTAAGTAAAATTAATTATATATTGAAGTAATAAAAAACTGTCAAGCATGTCAAGGTTCAGTTCTTCTAACATTGATCTGAAACAAAGAAGGGAATAGACATATTTGACACAAATTAAAGTTAATATGTTATTGTGATATTTTATTAACATGCATAAGTTTTTAAATAATTTTAATATTATTTTAGGCCACAGATATTGATTCGGACATTTATGGAACAAAATCAATAAGATATTCCTTGCGTGGTGGAAATGGGAAGTAAGTACATCTAATGGGAGTTCATTTTACTGAGTAAAGGGTTTCTGTTAATTCTGAGATAAAAGCATTTTTTGAACATAATGACCAGAAAATTATGCATGGAAAATGTTCTTAGGTAATGGAATAAAATCTAACTGGATATTTTTAATCAGGTCAATTATTTTCTTTGATGCTGCTTTTCTGAACAGACAAAATCTTGTTAAAGAAATTCTTAGAACCAGCAATTTCACTGCAAAACTAGACTTTATATTTAGAGGCTGTTTGCACACCAGTTCCTCAGAAAACTTTTCAAGGAAAAAATGTTAAAAATGTTTTTGTTTTCAGGTTTACCATTGACCCAGTTACTGGCACACTGAAGGTGTCTGGCAGCATAGACAGGGAAGAAAACAACCAGTTTTACTTGAGCGTGGAGGCTAAAGATGGCGGAGGTTTGCGTACCCCAGCGGAGGTGGTTGTAACTGTTCTGGACATGAATGACAACAGTCCAGTCTTTGTCAGGGATGATTATGAAGGCATCATCAAAGAAGGCTCATTACAATTTATAAGACAACTCAAAGTTCAGGTATCTCCTTAAGCTTTTTACAAGATTTTATTTAACTTGCTTCTTCTGTCATCAGTCTGTCATCAGTCTGTCTGTTGACAGCCTTTCTATCTGCTGTCATAGGTCGAAGCAGCTGAGTGAAATTTCAGGCACTTCTAACTGACAGATTCGTTTCAAGTTGGCAAGTGGGTCAAGACTTGAGGACAATGCATATTTGACCTAATTGGATGCCTAATTAATTTTTTATGAATTAATTTAAATTTTCTCCAAATTATGTGATACTCTCCCTGCACTATAATATGTGTGTTATCATGTTATTTGGTGCAAAAAATAGTTTTTAGTCATACAAATCTATTGTAAATAAAATATTAATTTGTAGTACTGAAAAAAAATTGCATAAAATCATTTTAATAACAAGCTTTTATGTAATAATGCACTAAAATGGACAAAATAAAATATTTTCTTTAAATATGTAATAATATATCTACTATTTAAATTATTATAAAGAAAAGTGTGGGTAGCTTCATAAATATTAGTAAAAGCATCCAATAGATAATATAGTGACCCATGCTTTTAGACATCAAACATAAACATCTCACACTCACAGAGATCAAACCCCATTGTACATAAATCTCTGAGTGCATCAGAGCAAATAAAAACCTTTTGAAATGCTTCTATCACTGTTTCTCTCAACCTGCAGGCTTCTGATGAGGATGAGCCAGGCACCAATAATAGCTTAGTGTCATACAGAATATCACATACCCCTCCAAACCTCTCAAGCAACTTCACCATAGGGGCTAGTACAGGAGTTATAACTGTCACTAATGCTTTGGACTATGAGAAATTGAGTAAAGATTTGAACGGAGTTGTCACTCTTACAATTGAAGCCTTTGATGCAGGGAATCCAGTGCTGAGCTCTAGTGTGGCTGTCAATGTGACTGTTGAGGTTGGTTGTAGTTGATGTTGTGTGGTTAGTTGTAGCATGATGTTGTGTGGTTTGTTGTAGTCTGATGTTGTGTGGTTTGTTGTAGTCTGATGTTGTGTGGTTTGTTGTAGTCTGATGTTGTGTGTTTTGTTGTAGTCTGATGTTGTGTGGTTTGTTGTAGTCTGATGTTGTGTGGTTTGTTGTAGTCTGATGTTGTGTGGTTTGTTGTAGTCTGATGTTGTGTGGTTTGTTGTAGTCTGATGTTGTGTGGTTTGTTGTAGTCTGATGTTGTGTGGTTTGTTGTAGTCTGATTTTGTGTGGTTTGTTGTAGTCTGATTTTGTGTGGTTTGTTGTAGTCTGATTTTGTGTGGTTTGTTATAGTCTGATGTTGTTGAGGATATTGTGGAGTTTGCTATTGGGGATATTGTGTAGTTTGTTATAGGATGATGTTGTTGGGGATTTTGTGTAGTTTGTTATGGTCTGATGTTGTTGGTGATATTGTATAGTTAGTTATTGGGGATATTGTGGAGTTTGTTATGGTTGATATTTTTGGCTATATTGTGGAGTACACTGAAATGTTACTTTTGAGAATTGTTATATTCTTTTAAGAATTGTTATTATATTCAGTGAAAATTAATTGAAGTAGATTTACTTTTTTTAAATTTCTGAAGTACATAAACCACTTTCCTTGAGCTTCCAGCTCTATACTTGGCCACTTGACAAAAATTTACTGTGTGGACTTTTGCTAAACTCTGAGTAGTTAGATATTTTTAGATTAAGCATACATTACTCACACACCTTTAGTAGAAGTGTTGTTTAGTGGTTATTGGTCAGAAATCTATGTTTCAAATTGCATGTTTTCCTTATTTTTGATGTAACATATTTTTATATTTCTCCTAGGATGTAAATGATTTCACACCTGTGTTCTCTAAATCTCTCTACACACAAAGTGTACTGGAGAATGTTACAGAGGGTAAGTTGCTAAATCTTTCTACACACAAAGTGTATTGGAGAATGTTACAGAGGGTAAGTTGCTAAATCTCTCTACACACAAAGTGTACTGGAGAATGTTACAGAGGGTAAGTTGCTAAATCTCTCTACACACAAAGTGTACTGGAGAATGTTACAGAGGGTAAGTTGCTAAATCTTTCTACACACAAAGTGTACTAGAGAATGTTACAGAGGGTAAGTTGCTAAATCTCTCTACACACAAAGTGTACTGGAGAATGTTACAGAGGGTAAGTTGCTAAATCTCTCTACACACAAAGTGTACTGGAGAATGTTACAGAGGGTAAGTTGCTAAATCTCTCTACACACAAAGTGTATTGGAGAATGTTAAAGAGTATCCATTGCTGAAATCAAACTGCAATGGGATAAAAACATATTTGCTGATGACAATGAAAGAATGCTTCTATCTTTATAATGCTTAGTTAATTTTTCTGATTAACAAATGCTATAGATATTTTTTTTAAATGCATGAGACCTAGTAGGCCTATATATTATAAACACCATTCCTTTTCTTACAGATTTTCTTGTGATAACTGTCAATGCCTCGGACCTTGATGGCACCAGTCCAAATAAAGACTTTATTTATCGCATTGAGAGCGGTGCTCTTGATAAATTCAAAATTAACTTTGAAACAGGAGAGCTTAGAGTGGATAATGGGGCTGAGTTAGACAGAGAAACAAAAGATGAGTACACCCTAGTTCTGTCTGCCATAGATAGGGGGACACCACCTCGAACTGGCTCTTCTACTCTTAAGGTATGTTTCTTTTTCAGCAAATGTCTGCACTAGTTTTATGCTATCAATATCTGTAAGAAATTCTTAAAGGTTATTGCCAAAAAAAAAGTCACTTTATCAATTGGTTCATTTTATTAATCAATAAGATTTCCTGTGTAGCTAAACAAAGCCTTTTGTTGCGCATTGATTTCAATAAGATAAAAAAAAATGGTTCTTTGGTTTTGGAGTGATCGCAAGGATCACAAGTATCATTTATGTCTGCTTTTACAAACATGATCTAGATATACTTTTACTCCATCATCTTGAAAAAAACAACTAAATGTTACATGTACACGTCTTACTTTTCTCTAAAAGATGACCTTATGTGATGTTGCTGAATGTACACATCTTACTTTTCTCTGAAAGTTCACATTGCTTGATGTTAATGAATGTACACATCTTACTTTTCTCTAAAAGATGACCTTGTGTGATGTTGCTGAATGTACACATCTTTCTTTTCTCTGAAAGATCACCTTGTGTGATGTTGCTGAATGTACACATCTTACTTTTCTCTGAAAGATCACCTTGTGTGATGTTGCTGAATGTACACATCTTACTTTTCTCTGAAAGATCACCTTGCTTGATGTTGCTGAATGTACACATCTTACTTTTCTCTGAAAGATCACCTTGCTTGATGTTGCTGAATGTACACATCTTACTTTTCTCTGAAAGATTACTTTGCTTGATGTTGCTGAATGTACACATCTTACTTTTCTCTGAAAGATGACCTTGTGTGATGTTGCTGAATGTACACATCTTACTTTTCTCTGAAAGTTCACATTGCTTGATGTTAATGAATGTACACATCTTACTTTTCTCTAAAAGATGACCTTGTGTGATGTTGCTGAATGTACACATCTTTCTTTTCTCTGAAAGATCACCTTGTGTGATGTTGCTGAATGTACACATCTTACTTTTCTCTGAAAGATCACCTTGTGTGATGTTGCTGAATGTACACATCTTACTTTTCTCTGAAAGATCACCTTGCTTGATGTTGCTGAATGTACACATCTTACTTTTCTCTGAAAGATCACCTTGCTTGATGTTGCTGAATGTACACATCTTACTTTTCTCTGAAAGATTACTTTGCTTGATGTTGCTGAATGTACACATCTTACTTTTCTCTGAAAGATGACCTTGTGTGATGTTGCTGAATGTACACATCTTACTTTTCTCTGAAAGATGACCTTGTGTGATGTTGCTGAATGTACACATCTTACTTTTCTCTGAAAGATCACCTTGCTTGATGTTGCTGAATGTACACATCTTACTTTTCTCTGAAAGATTACTTTGCTTGATGTTGCTGAATGTACACATCTTACTTTTCTCTGAAAGATGACCTTGTGTGATGTTGCTGAATGTACACATCTTACTTTTCTCTGAAAGATGACCTTGTGTGATGTTGCTGTACACATCTTACTTTTCTCTGAAAGATGATCTTGTGTGATGTTGCTGAATGTACACATCTTACTTTTCTCTGAAAGATCACCTTGCTTGATGTGAATGATGAAGTCCCTGTGTTCAAGAACCCGTCAGTCACCATAGAGCTGAGTGAAAACACAGCTGTCTCTACCACGGTTTACTCATTCACTGCCCTTGACCCTGACCTGAAAAACAAACTCAAGTACCGGCTGGGTGAAGTAGCCGCTGTCAGTAAAGACAAAATAGATGACAGGATAAATGTGACATCAACTGGTGTCAAGGTTTGATTTTGATCAAAATTATGTTGTGCACATAAATATTTACATTTTTCAAAACATACAGTACACCAACAATATAATGTTGATTCAACTCTTGGGTAGAGTTTTCTTTATGTATGTAAGTGTTTAACTCAGCACGTAAATACAAATGCAAAGTTTCAATGTGATAAGCAGTTTTCAATACCTTAGTGTTTTGATAGATATAATAAAGTGCCCATCATTTAATAGAAGTGAAGATTTATCACAAGGCTTGTGTTTTACTATCTGTTGATTACTGTGAGCAACTGTGGGTAATAAAAACTTTTTTTCTGCAGTATTATTTTGGTATCAATGCAGAGACTGGGGATGTGTTTGTTAACAGCACTCTAGACAGAGAGACAGCCACAAAAATTGTCCTGCAAGTCATTGTAGAGGACGTGAATGCTGAGACAGGGAAACAAACTGCTACAGGTAGCCAGTGATAGGACATCACACATTTAAAACCTTTGAACATGGAGTTCTCGCCCTTATAACATGGAGTTCTTTCCCTTTTAACATGGAGTTCTTTCCCTTTTAACATGGAGTTCTTTCCCTTTTAACATTGAGTTCTTGCCCTTTTAACATTGAGTTCTTGCCCTAATAACACTGAGTTCTTGCCCTAATAACACTGCTGAGATCTGTGTTTCTGTCCTTATGGCTTGAATGTCATGGATATTTTTAATTCAAGAAACATTTCATAACACAGGGGTTCTCAGACAATTTTTCTATTACTTAATGTTGGACAAATGCCTTCATGCCTCCCCTCTACTGCACCATTTCACACTAATAAATAGCAAAGCTTAATTACTGATCATCCCGTCTCTATGAAAAGGAATAGGAGTGTAAATCCATGAAAAAAACATTGCAATAGCATAAAACAATCAGTTTACACACTAGCACAAAAGATACTTAAAAAGATAGCATATTCTTAATACATAATACTCAAGTATACATTACTTTTGAATTCTATTACTTCATTTTATTTTATTTTTTAAAAATAGGTAGGTCTACATTTAAACATGTAAACTAAAAAATATATAACTGAAGTCTAAATATAGAATTATTATCACTCTCTTTGGTTCAAAAGAATAACATAATAATAAAATAGTGCTATCTAACATGAAACAACCTAACATTGGCAACTCTTTGACTACTATAGTCTGGTTTTGTTCATGTTTTGTTCCATTTTGTTTTGTTTATGTTTTGTATGAATAGATTAGGCTAGGTGTTGGTTACATTTGTGAATTTGTTTCTTTTTCAATTAAAAGATTGGTTCCATTTCCATATTTTGTTTTTAATGTAATAAAAGTTATGATTAGCTGATGATTTTTGTTTATCTAGATTAAGGTTAGGGATTAACCACCTGGGTCATAACATCCTCCCCCTTCCCCCCCCCCCCCCCCGCTAGTGCTTACATATAGGATTTTGTCGTGTATAATTAAATCATATTATATGGCTTAATCTATTCATGCTAGATATTATAAGGCAATTAAAGCCTACATTGTATTTAAATTTGTCAGCAACACTGACAGTTATCCTCCTTGACTACAATGACAACCCACCAAAGTTTCTCCCCTCATCTAACTACACTGCTGAAGCCAATGAAGATGAGGAATTATTTTTCATCGTCCTTCAAGTCTCAGCCACAGATGCAGATGAAAGCCAGACCATTAGCTACAGTATTGGGGCATCAACAGTTGATGCCTTCACTATCAACAATGAAGGTAATGTATTGAATAAATTAAGATCTAAAATTAGAGTATATGAAATAAATCTATGGATCTACAGTCGAATGTCAAAAAAATGATGGGTCTGATGTATTTGAAAATTGGACAGATATCCCTCTTCTTCTTCTTCTTCATTCTTAATTTTAATGTTGGAAGGGATCCCCCTCCATCACAATTAAGGACGTGTCAACTGGTTATGCGCCATTGAGGCCATTGACTCTGATTTCAGCCTGCTTTTCTTTCTTGATTTGCTTCCATAGCCTTTGTCCAACCAAGAACAAACTACAAGGCAGCAGTTGTTTGATTTTGGAGTTGTCTCTCCCAGAAGAGTGGCTGTCCCCAGCTAACGAGCCCGAGGGTTCGAACTCGAGACTTTTTGGTTCAGCAACCTTGAGCTTTACCAACCTGACCACGCTGACCCCCCAGATATCCATACTTTTGTTTAATGATTGTATTTATAGGCCATATACTGCAATCAAACCATTGAAGTGTAGTCACATACTAACTTGTACAAAATACACATGTCACTACAAGATATTAACACAATCCAGCATGACTTGCTAATAAAGAAATCAAAATAATTTTATAAAACAACAGAAATGATCAAGCTGACTTTTAGTAACATGTAGTTAATACATATTAAATCCAGATGATCATTTTAGTTTGAACACAAAAATTTGACCACTCAATCCTGGATTTGTAATTGTTACATATCAGCAAGGGCTTAATTTTAGATCAGCTTCATCATACTAAGACAGTTTACTATGAGATTTATTTTCTCATTTTTTAACACAGGAACTGTTCAGCTCAAGGCAAAGCTAGACAGGGAGAAAAATGATAAAGTCATTTTTCAAATCATTGCAAAAGACAACGGTGTCCCCCAGCTGACCTCCACAGCCACTGTAACTCTGCGTGTTCTGGACGCCAATGACAACTGGCCCATCTTTAACCCTTACAACACTACCTACACTGTCTTAGAGAGTGAAGCTGTGGGCTATAAAGTGGGCGTGGTTGTGGCAACTGATCAAGACATTGGAGATTATGGCACTGTGTTCTATACACTAGAAGGCATAGACAACGATGGCAGCTTTGCCATCAATGAGAAATCTGTAAGTTCTTTACATTTAATGCAAATAATACTCTTTGAAGCAGGCCTTTCCCAATAAATATTCTCTACCAATTGTCTGGTGGTTAGCTATATTCTCAAATTTTAAATTACTGTAGGTCAACAAAAAAATTTTTATTAATTTTAACTGGTATTTTAGTATTGTAGGCCTAGATACAAAAAATGTTATAAATACTTACTTACATTTTTTTTCTTACAGGGGGAGATCAGTGTATCAAAAGCTTTAGACAGAGAAAGAAAGGCAGCATACATCATTGGGGTCATAGCCACTGATTCTAAAGATGATCCCACTCAGCAAAAGAGCAACCACTCCCAACCAATCACAATCAAGATTGGTGATGTGGATGACAATCCGCCCCAGATTACAGCTGTCATCCCAGAGAGGCCGTCCATCACAGAGACCACGCCCACCAGTCAGCCCATCGCATCTGTTGTGGCAGTGGACGCTGATGACAAAAACACTGACAATGGCCGAGTGATGTGAGTGGACCTAACCTTGTGTGACTTAAGCTCTTCATGTGTGGCCCAAAAACTCTTTTAGCTCCAGTAGTCAATGGTGTTTAGAGTTAGTTAAAAACTTAAAAACAATTGGAGGTTGATTACTGTGGAGCTATTTCTTATGCAAAGTCTTTCTAATGAGTGACCAGTTTATTTCAATTTTCATATCATTGCTTGACATGTTTATAGATAGAAATAAAGATGTATTGAGTGGATTATTATTATGGATATGGATGCTATGTAAAAATGGATAATAAAACAATATGATGCTGCTGTAAAAACTGCTGAATTTACTACATGAATCTGTGATGTTCATACTTCATATCAAAAACTTTTATTTGACTACAATTCTTGGATTACAACACCACTAGTGATTTGAAGATTGGATTCAAGTACAGGATTTTGATATAATGAAAACAAATCTTCCTATGTTTGCCTTTTCTAAATAAATGTTTTGCATAAGATGCTTACCCATAAATCTTTGTTGACAAATTGTTTCAAATAAGTAGTTAAATAAAAATAGATATTTTCAAATTCCAAATGATTTCTAGTTTTATTGTGATGATAAAGTTAATTTACTTAGTAATATATTTTCCTTAATTATTTTAATTAAAAATTATCTTAAGATTTCCACCATTACTCTGAAATTTGAAATATGTTTTAAATTTTTTTTGTAGCTAAATAGTGAATTTTTTTCTTTTTTCAGTTACTCGCTAACTTCTGACACTAATGCTACGTCATCTAATGGAACAGCTTTCTTCAGTATCAACTCATCCAGTGGTATCATATCACCAGCCATTGTTTTAGAAAACCATTCTGGCACTTTCTACATCACAGTCAAAGTGACAAACATTGGCCAGATTTTTAATGCCACCAGGAAGATTTTTATAGACATCACTGATGTCAATGACAACGTGCCAAAGTTTACCAGACCTACCCCAGGAAACACAGCAGCATTTATTTCTGAGGTTTTTCTCCTGCTACTACCAATAATTTACAAGCTTTTATTAGTACATACATTTTATTGTAAATGGCAATTATATAAGATATAGAGTTCAATATAACAAGCTTCGCACAAACCAATATAAATAACCAATTTTAGTGATTACACTATATGGCCAAATGACTATTTAAAGCATTAGAGAGATTTTCTTTTAATTTTCTACATTTCAAAATGCTATCAATACATTTCAAAAACATACACATTTAGTTATTTATTTAATAAAAATTCATTTAAATCATCTACAAATTTTTGTACATATTTAAATTATTTTCTCACCAATTATTGTTGAATCTTCAGAATGTGGAGGTAGGAACATCAGTATTTCAGCTTGAGGCTGTTGATGGGGACACAGGCCCAAATGGAGAGATGAGGTTCTCTATAGTCCCTACAGGTGGTTCTAATGATGGCTCCAAATTGTTTGCTGTTCACAACATCACTGGCTTGATCACAACCAAAGCAGAAATCAATGCAGAGGACGGAAACATGTATCAGGTACTGACCTGCTGATCTAGCATTTTTAGTAGGACATTTTTTTAATGCTGCCTTCTGCTCACAATGGAAATCCTGTTTTATTTTTGTAATGCAATCAAATATCTGTGTTATCTTAGCAACCCTCCTTTTGTGTCCTTTATATTGATTACCATCCCACCTCTTTAACCTGCATGTTTTTAATTTGTTGACTTGAATTTTTCCTGCAGCTGAAACTTGTAGTCCAAGACCTGGGCACACCCATTCCATTCAGCAGTTCTGTCACCATGACAATCTTTGTGATGGACAAGAATGACCACAAGCCAGAGTTTGACGGGCTGGGTGTACCTTACCAGATTGGCATGGTAGAGAACCGGATGGGTTGTGTCAATCTCAGCCTAGCCATTGACAAAGACTTGAACATTAACTTCACTCTTATTTGCTATTACATCATTGGTAAGTTCATTTCTAGAAATCAAGCTCTAATAATAAAATATTAAGAGTTTGTCAATTTTTTTTACAACAAACTGGGATAAAGAAAATTAAGAAACAATCATAAAATTAACTGCTAATACAAAAGTTTCTAAACAGCTTCCATCTAATCCAAACTAAACTTTAGAAGGACTCTACACAAAATACTTGATAACTCTGAAAACAATCTGTTTTTTTTATGATAATATAGTCTAATACTCATATATATAACTGTTAAACTATTTTGAGTAGGTGTGACCATTTATTCATTGCTACTAATTTCTCAGACTTAACAGACCACTAATGTGTATATTAATAAATTAGAAAAACTAAAAATACTTAACCCCATAAAAATATTTCCCCTTTTCCAGTTATGAACTTGGACTATGGATAACTGTCGAGTATAAAATTAGACACTGACATTCTAAATTAAACAGTAATCTGCTTTCAATTTGCTGGGAACAACTAGACATATCTAAAATATTCTATTAGTGTTAGCAAACAAGGCAGAAAAATATACAGAGAATATCACTATCTTTATTTGTTGCAGTTAAAATCTGATTGTTCTTAGTTTATTGAAGTCATGGACAACCTCTGAAGTTAATTTTTCTGTTTAAATCTGTATTTTCCTAGTCTCTTGACTTAAATTTCTTTTCCAGGATCATCTTTGATGGACACTTTTCTGATGGACACACCATCAGGGAAACTTTGTCTAAACCAGACTCTGGACAGGGAGAGCACCATGTTTATCAATATTGTAATTCAGGCTCTGGATGACTGTTACAAGTAAGATGGCTTGACATTTTATATCATATTTTTATCATATTTGATATCATATTTGATATAAAATTTTCTGGCACTGGACCACAGCTTTTTTCTTTTGACAGTGACATTTTCAAAATAATAAAAGGCTATCCATAAAAAACTGAAAAATGAAGCATTATGATACCAAGATAATTTATAAGGCGCTTTTTGAAAATCATAATATTCATGTAAGGCTAAATTTGAGCAACACATGAAATGAATTATGAATTTAACATTCTTCTTTATTATTTGATTTTACTTAATATTTTACATCAATTTTGAAGAGTATTCACTTTTAATAAAGATGTTTATTTAAAAGTTTTTCTATTCATATATGGGATGGCCTCAGCGGTAGAGCGCTAGGCTGATAACCCGAAAGTCTTGAGTTCAAATCTGAGTTTAAGTCAGTAGAACGTCCCTGAGTCCATCTAGCTCTGATGAGGAACTAACTCATGTTAGGGATAGTGAAGTTGGTTGGGCAAAGTGCTGACCACACCTTTGAGATCAAGAAACATATGAACTCTACTTCATATGCCCAATGGCTCGCTAGGTCTAAAGAGGATTGTTTACTTTATGTTTATAACAGGTTTCTTACTTGACAAATTTTACAGCAAACACATTACTACTATCAGATATGAAAAATTATGCTGATCTTTTTATTTGCTTCTGGTGTTAAATCAATTGCAGGGACCAAGTGATTGAGAAAATTTATCCTTTTGAGAATGGCCAACAGTATCCATCAATGTATCGTCCCTCGCAAACTGACAAATTATGGGTTGAAATTGAGGTTTGTTCTTATTTACTACATCAATTTATAAGTTTACAAGTCTTTGTCATATCTAAAGTGATACATCTAATAATAATTTTAAAAAATATGTGGTAGAGGCTTTTCAAATTTAATATATAATTCTCAACCAAGTATTATGACTTTCCATTAAAAATTAATTAAATAAAAACATTTATCGCATTATAGGAGAAAGGTATTGGTGGTTGGCAAAGGGGGGGGGGGGGAGGGGGGTATCAATTTAAAAAAAGAAATTTTATATCCTTGTGTAGGCCTGTCATGCCTAACCCAGACATTTCTCTGCTACAGGTGCAAGATGTAAATGATAACCCACCTCTATTTAAAAGTAAAGAACTGACCCTGGGGGTAACGAGGGTGACACAGTTTGGAAAGTTCATAATGGAGTTGAAGGTAAACTTTTTAGCCTTTATGTTATATACTAACATATTATCATCCTGGAACTATTATTTACTTCTGTGGATCTTTAAATGAACTAACAGGAATCGCAGAGTAATTTGTTTTCATAAATTAATCAAATGCTCAAAAGGTTTCTATAATTGTTTTAGATCTCTTCCTGTTGTTGTGAACCAGCACCTTTAAATAATCTTTTAATTTGATTGATATTCAGGATGATGTGGAAGACAAGGACTCATCCAGATGGGGTGTGGACTACTTCAATGCAACATCAGCATTCACAGCACACCCAGAGGCATTGAAAAATGAGCTGCTTGGGTTGGGTGTCATTGAGCCGTTTAAACTTTTCCCCAATGGCTCAGTGAAGACCAACATGTACTTTAAGCCTCAAATGACTGGTTTTTTCACTGTAGATCTCGTGGTCTATGATAAAGGTGGACTGTATGATACTGCAAAACTTCGGGTAAAATTTTAAATCCTGGACTAACTTATATATTAAGGCATGTCTCAGTTTTATTCTAAATATTGCTCAAATGTATATTTTAGTTGATTATCAAACTACTGCTTTACACAAGTAGCTATCTGCTGGCTGTTCAATGGCTTATACCTTTATTGGAAATGATAACATCTGATGAAAGTTGTAATTGCAGTTTATGTAATGTTTTATATAAAATACGACACAGAGATCATCAGATGTTTTATATGAAAACAAATTAATATAGCATAAAACATTACCCAATACTATCATCTGTAAATTGTTGTTCAATGGGTTAAGTGGTTAATGACATTGTATTTAGATTGATACATTTGAAGTTTACACATACAATGTAAGATGAATTTCTTATAGATATCATTGATCAATGATGACCAAAGACTGATCATTATATTCAGAAGAACAATTGATACTGTAGGACCAATCAAAGAGGCTGTCATCAGGTAGGTCTCATATGATTTTTTTAATAATCAATCATTTTTAGATAAAATTTGTAAAACAATAAAAATAAAATGAAAAACTATTTTTTTATTAAATTGTGTACATTGATAAGAACTTGAAGTATAAAATTCCAGTAGCAGTTTGATTTTTAAAATATGTAAAATAGAACTTAGGTCATCCATTTAAATCTAATTTCTAAATTGTGATAGTAAATTTATTTAGAGTTAAAATTTTAAAGCTTTTAATACAGTTTCTACTTTTTTTTTTCTTTATCTCTTTTCTTTTATAGTTCTCTAAGCAAAAAGATAGGTGTTAGAATAATTGCAGATTCCATCCAGACTCATGAAACTGATGAGGGTGTTGCAGATCTTGCAAAGTAAGGTCTACATTTATTTAAAAAATAATTATCATAAAATTCCAAATGTTAACAGTATTTGTCAATAATTTTTTATTTTTCAAATTATACATTGTAAACATAAACCTGCAGTGAGGGAAAAATAAAATAAATGTATTTTATTTGTACAGAACAGACATGTTTATCCATGGAGAAGACTATGAGACAAATGAAGTTGTGCCTGTTAACAAGTTACTAAGGTAGGAAATGAAGAGTAAAATTTCAGTAAACATTTCTAACATTTATAAAACAGTGAATAACTGATGAATCATAACTGATGGTGGGTGGTGGTAAAATAAAAGAGTAAAAATAAATTGTCAGCATCATTGTGGCTATTTAATGTTCTAACACTTTAAGACATTGCTAGGATTTTTTTCCTTGCAATTTGAATTCATAATCAGCCAAAAACAGTTGTGAAATAAAATTAATAATTAAAACAACATAAATAAAGATCAGTAAATAAAATTCCAAAATGAACAAATAGTATCATAATAATATGCTTTTTACTTTGATATGGTTTAAAATTACTATGATAAAAATATCAAAGAAAATACAGTATACAAATATATTTTTATGTCTTCATTTTACAGCATAGATTTATATTTTTTAAAAAAGGTAGAAATCAAACATGAGCTAAAATTTACTAAGCTGAGTTCAAAAAGTAATATTACATTTTTAGGAATCTCAAAAGTATAAATAAAACAAACAAAAAAACTTAAATAGCTGTCAGAAAACAAAGCAACAAACAATTTACAACTCACTGTATTTGTAGTGATGAAAGGGTTAAAGTAGAGAGAGTAAAGGGTGTGGCTTGTGCAGGCTATACAGTGATATGGTGTGTGTGGACATTCCTGTTCATTTTTCTAACACATCATCTCACTGATCTATTTATCTTTCTCTGTTCTTACAAACACTGGTGCTTATTCCAGGTTCATTACATACATACAAGTAACTCAACATGATTATCATAAATAGAAATAAAACTTTAATTACAGCCTCTTTGATCAAAAGAATGCCTTGTTAATTGGACTTCTTAATGAGTACAATGTTTTACAAATTGTGGTAAGTATGTTTGTACATTGACAAAATATTTGTTACTTTAACTGAACAAATGCCTGTATATTAAATTGGCTACTATATTGGTCAACTGAATGTAATTGATTTTATTTAATGTGTTTTTGTCACTACCCTGATCCAGAACCCACCACTGACTCCAGTATTGAGTCTAATATTAAGAGGATGCTGGCAGACAAATACCTTATAACAATATTGTCTTTTGTCCTACTGCCAATTTTTATAAGAACAACAGCTTACTTACATTTTGTTATTTGAAATCCATCAGGTTTTGGGCTCATTAAAAATGTTTTTTTTTTCCATAGCCTGCAGTAAGACAAGTAGTAGACAGTGGCATTGAAGACAAGTTAAAAATGGCCATCATCCTCATCTCAGTGGTGCTAGGCATAACTTGCATTGTACTATCTATAGTCCTGTGGTATGTCAACAAAAGGTAAGTTAAGGGCAGCAAGCTTCAGTCTGTCTATAGTCCTGTGGTATGTCAACAAAAGGTAAGGGCAGCAAACTTCAGTCTGTCTATAGTCCTGTGGTATGTCAACAAAAGATAAGGGCAGCAAGCTTCAGTCTGTCTATAGTCCTGTGGTATGTCAACAAAAGATAAGGGCAGCAAGCTTCAGTCTGTCTATAGTCCTGTGGTATGTCAACAAAAGATAAGGGCAGCAAGCTTCAGTCTGTCTATAGTCCTGTGGTATGTCAACAAAAGATAAGGGCAGCAAGCTTCAGTCTGTCTATAGTCCTGTGGTGGTCAATAGAAGATAAGGGCAGCAAGCTTCAGTCTGTCTATAGTCCTGTGGTATGTCAACAAAAGGTAAGGGCAGCAAGCTTCAGTCTGTCTATAGTCCTGTGGTATGTCAACAAAAGGTAAGGGCAGCAAGCTTCAGTCTGTCTATAGTCCTGTGGTGGTCAATAGAAGATAAGGGCAGCAAGCTTCAGTTTGTCTATAGTCCTGTAGAGAATACATGACAAAATAATCTTTACTGAAACAATGAAATTAATATTTGCATATTTTGCTTTTGTTGCAGATACAAAAGAAAACTGAAAGCCGCCACAGCCATGGCCTACAGTGAGTTTTTCTCTTCAATGTTTTTTGTGGTTTACAGCATATATTTTTTGTACATTTAGCAGTTTTAACATAGATGGGGAGGGGGGGGGGGGTGGGGGGGGGGGGGTTAGATGGTCATCAATGTGTAATTTTTTTTTTTCTAAATGTAGCTTTTTTTTTTATCTTAAAATAAATACAATCACAGTGTAAACATGGAAATGTAGTCAAATAAAATTAATGAGATAAGTCCCTGGGAACTCTAATATTGTTTTTAATTTTGAGTTATTTTTTTTTGTTTTTAATCTTTTTCATCTGCTCAGTCAACTCAGGAGTTGGTAGGATGTAGTTTGAACTTGTTCATGTTTCATGTAGTTAGTTGACAAACCCAAACTAAGAACAGAAAAAATACTGTTGACCTGTCCAAAACAAACCCTTGATAAGTTTCACACTTCCCTCATTAAGGCTTACTATCTAACAGAAAAATAGACCAGAATTATCACTCAATAAAATGGTGATGTTCAGATTAAAACACCTTTTATTTTGTAGTTGTCCTTTAAAGAGGAAGGATTTTCTTAACCTTATTTAGCTAGAACTAGTTTGTCTAACATCACCTTGTTTGCTTTTATCTGGTATATCCCACACAAACATTATTAGTTATATCCTAATCATAACGTATTGTATGTAGTCTATTCATTGTCTTAGATCTATCACATTGGCTTACTGATTATCATATAAATTAATGAAAAAATAACACCTTTTTCTCTTTTGTTTGATTGAGATCAGTGGCGTAGCGAGGTCGGGTGTCTTCCGGTGCGGCACTTAATGGTGTCACCCACCCCCCCTCGCTACGCCTCTGATTGAGATTACAACTTAAATAGTGTTACACTTTTTGATGATTGCAATAAATGAAATGTTACTAGACGAACTTTTCAAGTTACTGCGGTTGTTTATCTGAATATTAAAAGTTGACATATTTTCTAATTAAACTGAGTTTACAAGAACTCTGGATACAAATGGTTAAATAAGTTGACAAGAACTCCTAGTTATAAATAGACTTCACTTCTGCTTGTAATGCCTGTTTTTTCTTAGTAATCTAATACAGTGCACTATTATATTCTCCTTTACAAATTTTGCTACTCTGCTAATTTAGGAATGCTAAAAATTAAGTCATACTCACTTAAAAGTAGACCTATAGTATGTGCACCATATATATATATGTATTAATAAATAAAATAAATAAATAAATAAATATATATATATATATATATATATATATATATATATATATATATATATATATATATATATAGGCCCCTATTATAGCCAATATAAACTCATGTATATCTATATGTAAACCAGTAAACAATAGCAAATATAAACTTATATATATATTTATATGAAAACAATGCTAATTATTGTATTTTTTAGTTCTTGTGTAAAATATAGTACTTCCAATCCATAAATTGTGAGAATATTTGGACCACATTAATATTAGCCATAACAGGAACTGACTCAAAATGCCACTTTAAGTTTAAACTTTGCATATGTTATGAGAGGCTATAATGGAATATACATTTCTATTTGAAGGTTATTTGAATTAATTAATGTACTTAAAGGAATTAAAACTGTCTAAAAATATACAAACTAAAATATTCTTTCTCTATTTACCTCTAGCCCCCAATGATAGTGACCTCTATAAAGCAGATATTCCTGGAACACATATTCACTCTTATGAAAAGTAAGTTATTTTATATCTCATTCCATCATTTACTGTCTAGTTAGTAGCAATAGTAAAGTAAGAAATATTGATTGGTATAGATTTTTTTTTCTAATTCACTTTATATGTCAATTTTTAAACTAAGAATATTAGAATAAAGTCATTTTATTTATTTACATAATAGTGCAGTATTTGATATGGTCATAACTCATAATTTCTTTTGCACACTAGATCTACTAACAAAACTTGAACCTACTAAATAAAACTAATTTTTATAAGCTCTGTTACTGTTTTATTGTTCAAACATTTAAACATTTCAATCTTTGTGTTCATTTATATTTAGTAGTTGCAACTATATCTAGTTTATACTTTAAAAATAGACATTTTTGGTTTTGGGCTTTGTAATACCCAGTACCAGCTACATCAGTTTTTTTTTTTTTTGCTTATAAACAGCTTATATTATGCTCTTAATATCTATTTTGATTTACTGCTTGTTAATAAGCATTTTATAAAGAAATGTATGTAGATACATTTCAACTTAACTTAGCAGCTTTTTATTTGACTTACCTGTTTTCGTCTAATGCATAGTGTAATTCCCCTCTTATTTTATTTCCCTATTTTTTGCCACCTAATTGCCTTTAACAGGCCAAGATTGTTTGAAGGACAAACACGGTTTTGATTGTATGTATTTTATGTTATGTTTGACTATTTTACAGTTTTTGTTATGTCATTCTGTATGTAATTCTGTTCTGTTTATTGACTTTTTGTTTTCCTGCAACATCACCATGGTGATGAGATGTTCTGTTATCTGTTCTCAGCACCCTCACTTCTGCCCATGTTGTAAGCTTACTTCTGCTGTTATTTGTAGCTAACTTTACACCAGACCAGTCAAAACATAACTTCTGCTGTTATTTGTAGCTAACTTTACACCAGTCCAGTCAAAACATAACTTCTGCTGTTAATTGTAGCTAACTTTACACCAGTCCAGTCAAAACATAACTTCTGCTGTTATTTGTAGCTAACTTTACACCAGTCCAGTCAAACCATAACTTCTGCTGTTAATTGTAGCTAACTTTACACCAGTCCAGTCAAACCATAACTTCTGATGTTATTTGTAGCTAACTTTACACCAGTCCAGTCAACCCATAACTTCTGCTGTTAATTGTAGCTAACTTTACACCAGTCCAGTCAAAACATAACTTCTGCTGTTAATTGTAGCTAACTTTACACCAGTCCAGTCAAACCATAACTTCTGATGTTATTTGTAGCTAACTTTACACCAGTCCAGTCAAACCGTAACTTCTGCTGTTAATTGTAGCTAACTTTACACCAGTCCAAGTAACTAAATTTTTTACATCTTACCAGCCAAACCGTAAACTCTTGGCATGTTATAGTAAAGTGTAATTTAAAATTTAAAAAAGTAAAGGTTCCTTCAAAATAGATAAGACTTGTTAGATTTAATCTTTCATAGATGCTTATTATTTAATACAGCTTTGCAATCTGTACATTTTGCCATAAACGGTATGAGAATTTAAAGAAAATATTTTTAATTTTAATTCTTTTCTGAAATATAGATTTACAACTGCTAAAGATTCTATTAAATCTTTAAGAAGTTTTATTTACTTCAAAGCGAAAATATACATTTCAAAAAGAAATATACCAAAATATTTCAAACAACAGAAGTACCAAGCTAAGGAGTCCTATTTTTTAAACAAATGTAATTTGTAACAAGAAGCAACACTGGCAAAGTTGGACCATTATAAAATAAATGAACATCATGGGCTACACTAAAAACTGTGGTGTTTTCCAGCCAAAATACAACCCCCATTTTTAACATTTCAGTTATATTTCCTACCTAAGTCCACCTAGGCCAGCTTTTTCCACAGGTATGGGTATGACTTCTCATTTTTATTACTTTTGCCTTCATCTGGTGTTGTGATACTAACATTAACAAATAGATGGCTTTTATTCTAAACTTATTTTTATAAAAAGACATTCGCTTGCTCATAATAAATAGTTGATGAAAGTATCGGATCATAGCATTATAATCAACCCTACTACTAACTATAGACTAACCCTATCAGAAACTTGTTGGTATTCTCTTTTTTTTAAATTGTTTATTTTTACAACAGGTTTTTTTCAAAATTATATTATAAATTAGTAAGCTATCAATAAAAATTTATTTCATCACGGACTGTTAGAAAATTAAACATTTTAAATAAAAAATCTCTTATAACATATATGTGTATAGGCCATAAGAATAAAATTAATTCTGCTATTTGCTGTTGAAATAACATCAAAAACTATGGAAGCACTGATATAGCCTTTTGCAGTGAGTAAACTGATCAAATCTTCTTCTCTAAGTGTTTGATAAGATGATATAAATATTGTGTGCACTTCCCTTTTCTGCAGTGCCAACCCCATTTTCTTAGAGAAGATAATGTTGGATAGTCATGATGATGGGTAGGTGACGAATAGTAGCCTATGTTTTGTCTGTTTTCAAATATCTTTGTTGTGTAGTTTGTGCATTTTATCCACTGAATGATTTCCTACATTAATACTCTTTATTAGCTAAACTTTAATTTTCATGTAAAAGTCTTGGATCAAAGTTTAAAATTATTTTGTTGGCTTCAGATGGTAGTTTTATTTCAGCTTTTAAAAATAAAATTAAAGATTAAAAATTAGCTGTTAAATTTTGATTTGAATATTTTTATTTGCCAGTACACTATAAATCCAAAAAAGATTTAAAACGATTTTTTAAAATAAACAAAAAATAAAATAAAACAAAACAAAACATAAAATAAAATAAACAAAACTGAAATAGGGGTCCAAATATTATGGCAATATTTAAGCAAGAAAACTTTAAACAGTACAACAAACTTTAAACACAATGTTTGAATCACAGGCGCATGCAAGAAGTGATACTCTTAAATAATGCAAGAAGTGATACTCTTAAATAATGCAAGAAGTGATACTTAAATAATGCAAGAAGTGATACTCTTAAATGTGGTTGTTGCATGTTGTTTGACCTAACTCATGGAATTGAACCACATTAAAATAACATTAAAAAAACATAAAAGACCCAAATTATAATTTGGAAATAATATTGGAAATAATAGTTTCACGTTCAACTTTTATTGATTAAATTAAATGAGTTTTTGCTTCTTTATATTGTTTTCATTCAATTCAAGCTGATAGAATCTAGGTAATGTTTATTTAAAAAATGAATTTGGGTCTTTGATGTGAGGTATGTCCTGCATGTGAATGATTTATCTTTGCAGTGTTTTAGGTCACATATTTATAGTAGTAGTAGACGTGTACGTTGTTTTTAAACATTTATGTGTCACATCATCAAATATTAAGTTTAGTTCATCTTCACTTCGTCTCATTTTTCCTATGCATCACCTAGGACAACAACAATAGCCTAAAGGTAGGATTTTTTCTCATGGAATTATCAAAACCTTTCTGGAAGTACAAACTGTACCAACAAGCCTTGCTTTGCTGCTATATAAGCATAGGGCTCTGCTAATTATTTATTGCTTTAAGAATTTAAGTTTTGAAAGGTTGCTACATCAGAATCAACCAGCACAAAATAATTTAGGTAATCTAATTAGGTGGGATTTATATTGACCTAATTAGGTGAGTTTTATGTTGGCCTATTAAGTGGGGTTTATGATGGTCTAATTAGGTGGGGTTTATGATGGCCTAATTAAGTGGGGTTTATTATGGCCTAATTAGGTGAGTTTTATGTTGGCCTAATTAAGTGGGGTTTATGATGCCCTAATTAAAGTGGGGTTTATGATGTCCTAATTAGGTGAGTCTTGTGTTGGCCTAATTAAGTGAGCTTTATGATGGCCTAATTAAGTGGGGTTTATGATGGCCTAATTAGGTGGGGTTTATATTGGCCGGATTAGGTAGGGGTAAACGATGGCATAATTAAGGGGGTCTTATGTTGGGCGGATTAGGTAGGTGTTTGTGATGGCCTAAGTAAGTTGGGGCTTATGTTAGCCTAATTAATTAGGTGGGCTTTATGTTGACCTAATTAGATGAGTTTTATGTTGGCCTAATTAAGTGGGGTTTATGATGGCCTAATTAGGTGGGGTTTGTATTGGCCGAATTAGGTAGGGGTTTATGTACGCATAATAAGGTGGGTGGGGTCGCTTTCTATGCTCCCATCAAACTGTTGTTAAGTTTTGCTAAGCTATAAAAAAGTTGTCAACCATTTACTAAAGATATTTTTGCAGAAAATAAATGTTATCAAAATCCAACTTATTTATGTTAAAGGTGGTTCACAGGTGTTAATTTTATTTTTATTTTTTTTTCTCAACTTTTTATGATTAATGGTTTATTTTATAAATACTACTAGAATGACATCCAATAGTTTCCTATTTACATTTTCTTCAAAAATATATTTAATATATTTAAAATAATGTTTTAAAATGGTACACACCTGCTAATAGTTTTTGTTTCTTTGCTACTAACAAAACCATATACATGGCCTAGAATTTATGCTGCTTAAAACTAATAAACACAGCTAAAGTAAATAGAACTGACAGCTCATATTCATATATGCTACAGTGTTGTCACTTGACTAGGTTCAATAGATCTGTTCTTAAATCTTAAAAAAATTTACAATTAGCTATAAGATGAACGATTTCTCAACTTTCTACATTATCTTACTCAATCTTAATATTATGGGTTTTTCTGTTACAAATATATTGCATGTTTGTTATTATATTTTTAAGAGCTTTCTATTGTAATATGAACTTCTTTTAAATAAGCATTAAATGATATGATATTGAGAATACTTCATTAGCTCAATCATTTTTTATTGATTCTAAATCCTGCAGTAGTTTTTATTTAAAACATTGAGTTAAATTTCTATATATATTAAAGATGCCTTAATTGAAATACTTTTTGCTGTTTTAACTCAAATAAGCCCCTAATTTTATGAAATAAAATTAGACGTATATTATTTTTTACTATTTTCTTTTATGACATTAAAACTCCATAACAAATCTTGTATTTGTTGAATGAGCTGTGTCTTGGTGCCGTTGATAAGATCCTATGTTTTCTCCTCCACCACAGCCTGAGCCTGAGTGAGTTGTATGACCCAGCCTTCACCAGCCAGAGTACAATAGAGGATCATGAAATGCCAGTCTCTCTGGCTAATGGTCGGCAGGAAACCAAATTTACTGCTGGTCCATCCATTACAACTGACCCGTACATATCACGATGTATGGCGCCAGCAAAAACTAATTCAACCCTGAGCTCAGTACGTAATGACCGTAGCACAATGAATTTGATTGAAGAGATAGAAGATTCTACCAGGAGGAGAGACAGTGGGATTGGGGAGAGATCAGGGACGTCTGGACCTTCAGACAGGTCGGAGTATACCATCTACAACCACATCTACACCAACCCCAAGCAGGTCAAAGCCGTCCCTTCTAGACCAGCACCTTTGACCCGTCCAAACAACACAAGCACATTGAAGAATGGCAGCTCTGGGTCAAAGGTTGCCTGCACCAATGGTTCAGCTCATTACACCATCAAACCAGCACCACACTCTAAACCCTGGCAACATACAACAAACAATGGGCAAGCCACCAGGGGCTCTCTTCAGAAAGAAATGGATGAGATGGCTTACAGGCTGTCAGTGTCTTCTGATGAAGTGTCTCAGGCTTATTCAGATTTCAGGAATGGCTTGCATGGCAGTCACTATGGCAGCAGTGTTGATCTAACAGACTTATAGCATTCCAAGAATTGTTGGTTTCAATGAGGCTCCTGGCACTTCATCACAGGTGAAGTATAGCATTACAGCTGGATGATCTATGATCTTCTCTTCAAGTTATTTATACAAAACAAAAAAATAATTAGGCTATCAAATTTTTGTTTTATCCCATGCAGCTTCACAAGACTAAAATAAGGCTAAAATGGAACTAATGTCAATCTGTAGATATTTTTGTCATTTGAAATTATTGTTTTGCAAAATTATCAATTTTTGAATGGGCTGAAAAGGTTTCCACTGCATAATCTTAAACACATCATCACTCATTTCTCACTAAAATAACTTTTGCAAATATATCTTAGATACATTTTATCAGGCTAAATGTCCTTTCTGGGGTTTTGAATTTTAATTTTGTCCTGACTTCACGTTCACTCTCAAGTAAAATGATGTCAGAAATTAGAAAAATCAATGAACTATTTTTTAGAATTTTAAATATTCTGCTTCACAATATTTTTGATGTTCTGCATCACATAGCTGCCTTCAAAACAAAGATAAAATTATACTAGAAGTTATGACAGTTGTAACAGTCTTAGTTTTATGTCATTATCTCACATATTGTCATCAAATCAAAAGAACATTATGTACAAGATATTTATTTGTGAATTTTTTTTAATATGATCACTGATTTTTGCTTGACTTATTGTATTTTTCTAACATAGTTTTCTGAAAAAAAAAGTTTGAACAACTCTCTTGTTGGTTCAGAAATTATCAGCAATTTCCAGTGGTGTCTTGTTTTTCTTTTTTTGTTGTTGTAAATAATTGGTTCACCATTTTGTTGTTGTAAAGGTAAGCTGTATGAAAACAAAAAAGATTGTAAATGATGTTCCTCAAATGGTGTATTAGCTCACACATAGTGCTGTATAGTGCTGTATAGCGCTGTATAGTGCTGTACAGTGCTGTTGGCCCTATTTACTTGACCATTTCCTGCTGCATTTATTTATTTCTGAAGCTTTGCAATGCAGTCAGTGACTGGTAATTGACTAAATCATTTATTCAATTTTTTAAATATTAATTTTTTATCTAAACATTCCAAATATTAAAAAAATGCATTTGGAATCTGTGAAAATGATTTCATACGCCAATTATTTATTAATATAAATCGTGTTACCTTTGGATGAATTTATTTATTGTCATCATTGTTGTATTTATGCAAATTCAAACGACTTTTGATAATGTTTCTAGTGTAAGTTATTTTTAATTAAAATGATTGTATTGATCCTATAGAATAAAAAGATACATTAGCCAATGATTGAAGCAGGACCTTCCACAAGGTATGCCTACAACTAAAAGGCACTGATTGTGATACCTGTTATATATTTCATTCAGGGTTCAAATGTTTTAAATTTCTTATATTTCAAGTTCTTGCCAATAGTATTTTTAAACTTGACACAAAGTTGTGTGTGATAAGAAATGTTTCAAATGTTTAACCTGTTCAGAATATTGTATACTATTTGGTCATTCACTTGCATTTAAGACAATTGTAAAAAAAATTAATGTAAATAGAAATAAGACATTAATTAATTACTAAAGTATGAATCCCTAGGGATGAGTCTTTAACATAAGCTACATATTGTATATCCAAATATTTGTTTATTAGCCACAAAATACACATGCATTTTTTAAATTGGGTTTTGTTTTTAATTATAGATTTTTTTAGATTGTTTTAAATTTTAACTTCCATAAAAATAAATATTTTTTACTAGGCCTAATTATGTTAATTTAAAATCAAGTTAGAACACAATTTTAATCAACTCACACATATTTTTATAACCTCTAGTATATCTACATGTAATTTATTTAGACAAACATTGTAAGTTGTAAATTTCTCTGATTTTTATTCTCAATGTGTACATACTTTTTTTTAAAATTTAGGTTTTTCAAACAGAAAATATTTTGTTTAGCAAATTGTTGTTAGAGTGTATATCACACTTGTAAGAGTGGCATTGCTGTGTGTATGGGGTCATCCATTAATGAGACCCCCAAATTTGTTTTGGATTTTAACCCCCCCCCCCCCTTTCCACGTCCACATACGTCCGCTTTTGAAGACCCCCCCAAAAAAAAAAAATTTAGTAAATCTCTCAAACCATGCTACCAAATTACTAATTCAATATCATGTGTTCCTTGATAAGCTATAAATTAGATATTTTTGGCTAATCTTTACTGGGCCTAAATATTAAAAGTAGAACCCAGAATGTGTTGAAAAAATTAGTATATTTTAAACAACCTATTATAAATTAGGTCCTATATGTTGAGCGCTTGGTCTAGATCTCATTGTTTTTAAACTTATGTTTCAATTCTTTGAAATGTTTCAAGCTTAACTTGAAATACAGTGAATTGCATTGCCGCTATCAATGCCCCCACCCCCCCCCCCCCCTCCAGCGCCTGTAAAAATGTGCAAATGTGCTGTTTTTGTTTTAGTTGGGTTGTATACAGTTACATCTCTGATACATTTATTCACCAATTCAGCTGTTTTTTAACACAAGAGCAGTAGATGTTATTCATACATTTTTTATGCAGATTTATTTAACTCAACATGTGGATGTCCACATTTACTCAAATCACCCTTTCCCCCTCCCCCCCCCCCCCCCCCCAGTCCACACCCATCCACAAAAGTCGGCTTTTCCGGACCGCCTACCATGTGGATGTCTTAATAGGTGACCCCTATCATACTTATAAGAGTGGCATATATGTGTGTATCATACTTGTTGAAGTGGTATACATGCGTGAATCATATCTGTTATCTATACATTTCATTGGCTGGACTGATGAATCTACTACTTATACCTATCTATTTCCATTGTCTTTCGCTGATGAGACCATCAAAGTGAACAAAACACGCAACACAATAATACACACACTTATTGCATCTTGTGAACCTGAACATTTAACTTATTGTATCTTGTGAGACATTGTTAATGTTTCTTGATTTTTTTTCCTTATGAATTCTGTATTAACATCAGCTTAGCTGTATTGTATGATGTTTTTGTGTTTCACTATGTAGATGTATAAACATATCAGTTTAGCAAAGAAAAAAAAAGGTCTTAAAGGAATGTCTATATGACCACCATTAACAGTTGTGAATGATTTAGCAGGACGTTATCCTGGAGGATTTTCAAATTTAAAACAGAAATATTTTTTAAAAAACCAATTAAAGCTTGCTTCTTTATCTTGGAAGCTAGTTTATATACCTCTTGTTATTATTAAGTATGAAAAAAAAGTAAAGTTAAAGCAATTTTTTAGCAGATCCAAAGTGAAATAATTGTGATTTTCCTGGGGTCTTAGAATCTTAACTGTTGAAGTTAAATTTCTGGTGGAATACATCACAACCTGGTAGTCCATGGGGCAGGTGGAGTAGATTAGATCTGTTTCATTGACTTCACATTGACATATGAAGGAATAATGTGGTCAGTATTGTACAATGTTGCCTTTACTTTCTTTAATATGGGCAGAGGCGTAGCGAACCCTTCCGGCGCCCGGGGCGAACTTTCAGTTTGGCGCCCCCCATACATACATATATATATATATATATATATATATATATATATATATATATATATATATATATATATATATATATATATGCGTGTGCGTTTGTGTGTGCGACAGTCTGGAAAAGAATTAACAATGACGCTGATTGTCGTTCCCTAAAACTTCACTTGACGCCAATTAATTTCCCCTTAAGATGCCGAAACGAATAACACGTAGAAAATCATAAGAGCTTAGAACAGTGGGCTCCATCGAACCCGAGAGGTTCGGTAATTCAGTCTTAGTGCTTCCGCGGAGGTCAAGACACACACCCGACTGATAGGATTCACGATCGAATTTTCTCATTGTGGACGATACAACTATTAAGGAGGGTTCAGTGATTGCGCATATGAAACTGGTTGGGTTCGGTACTCCAAAAAGTTAAGAACCACTGCTTTAGAGTGTATTTTGTAGAAGGTGCAAGCCTTATTTGGTCAACTTTTGGTCGTATCTTTAGAACAATTTCGATAATAGTAGGCCAATATTGCAATTTTGAATTATCAGTTATGTTGAACAAAGTAATAATCAGTACAATATACAAATTTTCTTCTCTCTTAACATTTTGGCAAAGAGTGTCGCTTCCCATCCACCCGCTCCGACAGTCTGCTAACTCTTTTTTATGTTACACAATCTTAAAATACGCTTTAGTTCAATGGGTTTCTTTTCTAGGCGATATCGGTTTATTCCTTAATCCGGTGTGAATTTTTCCGATTTTAGTCTTCGAAAAAGCGCCCCCCCTCCCCATCTAGGAAAGCTGGAAAGCGGTTTTTGCGGTCACTGTTTCTTAAAGATATACGTTTTACAGTTACACAACCAAGGTAGAAAACAGTTAAATCAGTATGCAAAGGCTCTCAGCCGTTACATTTCTTTATTTTAACTGTTTATAATTCAAAACTGCAGCTTAAAATGAGCTTTTAATTTTTTTTTCTACCCCTTTTGGCGCCCCCCTAGGGTCGGCGCCCGGGGCGGCCGCCCTCCCCGCCCTCCCCTAGCTACGCCTCTGAATATGGGTCAAGTACTTACCTTGGTGGCCTCAGGGAAGTCCTATGGAAACTGCACTCTATCATACAGAAAATTCTTAGAATCTTTTCAGTTGAATTAGGATCTTTGGTGAAATATTCAAGCACTTTCTCTTGATCTCTTTAAAGAATAACAAAACAAATGCCATAAAGAGAACAAATTAAAACCCAATTTGCAGACATTTGTTTTTCCTGACACATTTAAAGTCATGTTCTAACAAAAGAGTTTTCACTCACAGATTTACATGTATTCATACATGGTGCCTTTTCTATTCAAAAACACAACTTCTTAAAGCTAACTTTCTACTATTAATATTTTTTTAAATAAAAATCTTTTACTAAGCATTATAGTGTTTGTTTTTGAGCAACTTATACATAGAAAAAAAAAAGAATTTTTATTTAATTTAACCCTGTAGCACTTACAATATGAATATATATATATATATATATATATATATATATATATATATATATATATATATATATATATATATATATATATTATGTTTAAATTGTTTTTTAAAATCATTTATTTTGGATGAGACAACTTTGATGAAATATCTGATTGAATTATTGATATTGTATACATAGGTATGTGGTTTTTCTCTGTTAAACATGTCATTTTATTATTTTCACATAGAAAATATTTGTATTGTTTTTAAAGAACATGATGTTAGTAGATTTACCAGGACAATATTATGTTAATACATTCTCTAGATGAATAGAGGTCTAATGTTAACATTTTGACTTGAAAAATTGAATGTTAACAGATTGACCTAAATATAACAGATATAATGTTAACACATTTACTTACCTACAGCACTGAGCAGATCACATTCACACAAGCAAATGACAGTCATGTAGTTGTATTCACTGTAATTTATTGAAATGTGTCATACCATGTCATGCTATATCTCATGTCATGGTATATCTAATGTCATGGTATGTAGAAAACCTTGTCATGTCATGTTATATTATGTCACTTCATGTGATATTCCATGTCATGTCATGTTATATTATGTCACTTGATGTGATATTCCATGTCATGTCATGTTATATTATGTCACTTCATGTGATATGTCATGTCATGTCATGTGATCTCTAGTTGCTGTTGATGTCATCTGTTTGACCTGCTAATGTAGGTTGACATTAAGGTTGATGAGCCTGGTCTCCCTTACCTTCTAGTCAATACTGACCTACTTTCTCCCGTGCTGACGTCATGTCTCTCTTCTCTGACCTAAACTTTCATTAAAAACTTTCAATTGAGATCAGCCTAAAAATAACATGCTTCACTGGTGTTTTTATTTTAAAAAACATTTTTATTTTTAATTGTATAGTTTTAGGACTACACTGAACATTATTTTAACTATTTCTTTGTTGTTTTTTATATTTTACTGTTAATTTTTTATTTTAATTTCTTGAAAATTAAATGGTCACAGATATAAAAATAGTTGAATTTGTTGCTTATTTTCTGGAGATGACAATTTGTTTGATTAGATTTATGTGTCTATCATGGTCTGTAGTCTCATTAATGTAAGTGAACCCCTATATCTGAATGATCACAACTACTATTCTAAAATGCCTATTTTTACCACACCATTAGTCAAGGTAAACATTGTATTGTTGAATTGATGATGACAGTCTCAAGCATGAAGTCATGTCATGATAAATTAAATGAAAACATAGCTAGCTCCGAAAGGGCTCCATTGGAAGCAATTCTACCTAGATATAATAGATACAAAAGTTCAACCGAAGATACAAATGTGAACAGGTTTTATGAGCTATGTTAAACCTAACACTGTTGTAAGAGTCATGTTACACTTTAAATTGTTGTAAGAGTCATGTTACACTTTAGTTGTTGTAAGAGTTTTGTTACACTTTAAATTGTTGTAAGAGTTTTGTTACACTTTAAATTGTTGTAAGAGTTTTGTTACACTTAAGTTGTTGTAAGAGTCATGTTACACTTAATTTGTTGTAAGAGTTTTGTTACACTTTAGTTGTTGTAAGAGTTTTGTTACACTTAAGTTGTTGTAAGAGTTTTGTTACACTTTAGTTGTTGTAAGAGTTTTGTTACACTTTAAATTGTTGTAAGAGTTTTGTTACACTTAAGTTGTTGTAAGAGTTTTGTTACACTTTAAATTGTTGTAAGAGTTTTGTTACACTTTAGTTGTTGTAAGAGTTTTGTTACACTTAAATTGTTGTAAGAGTCATGTTACACTTTAAATTGTTGTAAGAGTTTTGTTACACTTTAGTTGTTGTAAGAGTTTTGTTACACTTAAATTGTTGTAAGAGTCATGTTACACTTTAAATTGTTGTAAGAGTTTTGTTACACTTTAGTTGTTGTAAGAGTTTTGTTACACTTTAAATTGTTGTAAGAGTCATGTTACACTTTAAATTGTTGTAAGAGTTTTGTTACACTTTAGTTGTTGTAAGAGTTTTGTTAC